CCATAATAGTTTAGTCGAAATAGATTTCAAAATGTCGATCTCAAGTAGATCTTGTCAAGTATCTAATATTTCTATGTCGCCATTGCACGTCACTACATTTAACAATGAAGTATACGCAGATTCCAAAACCCATGAAAACTCAGATTATTTAGCAATTTTACATGACGTTTTTGCGTCTTTCAGAGATCAATACATAAGAATAATCTCACTTCACTGTGAATCTAGTCCTTGCTAACCAGGATCATATAAACAACTAATTCAGAAAATTCCACATGCTGCCTTTAATCCTTGGCCTGACCTAGAATATTAAGGCAGCAATTTCCTTGCGATAGTAACTCCTAGTTATTAAATATTCAAGATACCCGGAGGCTGAAATCATCACAAGTACATCTGCTAAAGCACTTATACCAAAAACCGATGCTATCTTCGTGCGACATGGAATTCCACGAAAAATAAAGACGGATAACGGTCCTCCTTTCAATAGTAAAGAATTTAAAGATTATTTAATAAAGATTGGCGTAGAACATGAGACATCAACACCTGAATGACCACACCTAATTCAGAAGCAGAAGCTTTTATGAAACCTTTAGCAAAAGCAATCAAGATACCTCGTTCAGAACATCGTAACTGGGTCCAAGAACTTTCGAGGTTCCTGTTAAGCTATCGCACAACACCCAATTGTTCTACCAACATACCTCCCGCTCAACTTCTCTTTAATCGGCCTGTCAGAGGAGTCCTACCCATGTTGAACCAAAAGCTAAAGTACTAAACAGACATAAAGAAGCCAAAGCGAATGACTCCAATGCCAAAGACAAAGCGAGAGAATACGCAAACAAACGAAGAAGAGAGGCGCCGTCAGAGATACAAGGGGGAAACACAGTCATTCTTAGACAGAGAATTAGAAAAACAAATTTACAACCAAGTTTGAACCAACTCCTTACACAGTGCTTGAACGTAAAGGAGTTACAAAAGTAGCTGAAAACCAAAGACATAAGGTGACAAGAAATGTATAGTTCTTTAAGAAGATACCAGAAGTCGCAAAGGAATCCGAAGATGAAGATGATTGGAACGCACCGAGAGGAGATGCACTCATCGAACGAGCAGCGGACGAACCAACGCCAGAACCAGTGGTGAGAAGGTCAAAAAGGCAGCGTAGACAGAGAGAACTTTTTGGAAATGCAATAAACCCAAACTTGATAATTCATTAAACAAAGGGAGAGATGTAATGTATATATATATATACATATATATATATATACATATATATATATATATATATTATATATATAATATATTATATATATAATATATATATATATATATATACACCCATTTGCAAAAACGTTGGCCGCAGATAGATAGATAGATAGATACTCGAAGTCTAATTAGAATTGCATATGATTACATTTGCATGGGATTTCAATCATATTACACAACATATGCAATTCTAATTAGATTTCGAGTATCTATCTATCTATCTATCTGCGGCCAACGTTTTTGCAAATGGGTGTATATATATATATATATATACACACCCATTTGCAAAAACGTTGGCCGCAGATAGATAGATAGATAGATACTCGAAATCTAATTAGAATTGCATATGTTGTGTAATATTATAGAAATCCCATGCAAATGTAATCATATGCAATTCTAATTAGACTTCGAGTATCTATCTATCTATCTATCTCCGGCCAACGTTTTTGCAAACGGGTGTATATATATATATATATATATATATATATATATATATATATATATATATATATATATATATATATATATATACAGTCGCTGTCATTAACGTTGTCCAAATCAAGTATATCAATATACCTGTCATGTGACTTATTGTTATGCATCAACTCGCGTGTGCTTGCATGCGATGGCGCGCTTCGCGAATATTGCGAGTTTAGTCGGACAGTATTTGCTGGCAGCATATTCGAACGATCTACGGTGGCGAATGATATTTCACCGCGTCTTTTATCAACGCACCTATATAAGCAAATCGCATCACAGTTATTTGTCAGTTCTACCAAAACTGTTTACCGCGTACTTATCAAACGTTTATTAAAACTGGTTATATAAAACCTTGGGTCCTTGGTCTTTCCTCACGAAGAGTACATCATCATCATGGATCACGCTTCACTTCCAGCTAAACGTATTTTAACTGCGGTACAGAAGGATCTTGAATTTCTACTGTATTATTTTGTGCAGAGAATTAATGATAGCAACGGATGATGCATTCAGTTAAAATGACCATGAATATAGAACAAAGCTAGTTTGTTTTGACCTTTCCCAATTGGTATAAACAATTTAGTCATTGGCGCCTCTTAATCATGTCTTATGAAATAAAGTTAATGAAGGGCACAAAGGATTTCTGTCTGTTTGTCCCTAACAATTTAAATTTTTGCATAAAAATCTATTGTTTGAATTGCATTTGACGCCACAAAAGTTTGACGTATAAACTACAGTACAGTAGGCCTAATATATGCACGTATAGCGGACAATAGTTTACGCACCCATAGACTTAGCATATAGTGATTGCACGGGCATTCAAATTTTAACAAAAAGCTAATTCCTTAATAACGTCTAAAGGTATAGCTCCGGCATTTCATGAGTGGCTGCATGCCTTGTTATGATCATGATAATATTGTGATCTAAGTATCTGATTTGATATCTACCAAACAGCACAAATCAGGGGTCTCAAATTGACTGAATAAATTAGCCAAGCACTGTCTCATTAGCGCTGTCACGAAAGCAAAATAACAAAAGGCTTGAAGGCCAAAACAACGAAAAGAAAGGGCAATTAATGACAATGCTTGGCTGATTTATTCAGCGAATCAGACAACCTTGGCACACAACTCCTAATCGTCAGTCGAAAATGGCTGCAAAGACAGCACCAGAAATAATTCCATTCTTAGACATTAGAGTGTTGGATTCGGTGAGGAAGAGTAGTTTCCGAGTCCGACAACTTACACAGTTCCCAGTCGTTAAAACCATTGGGCAAATGCGAAAGGAATTAATTGAACGTTTGCCTGACGTAAAGAACGTGGAAACTTGCCAGCTTGGTTATGTGCTGGAGAGGAATAAAAAATATTCCATTGGTTCTGATGATGAACTGCAGAAAGCATTCGGTCATTTTCGTGCAGGTTATCAAATGTGGTTGGATCCAGCTTCGTTGACGCAAAATTTGATACCAGCCAAAACGTCGACTGGTAAATCTGCCCAATCAGGTTAGTATAATAATACATTCTTCATACGCAGACAACGTGTAGTTCATTTCTTGCTGTGTAACTGATTGATTTCATCCTTATAGAAAAGCCAACATCTTCAAAGGAATCCATAATTCAATCCGAAATTGAACAATTGCAGAAGATGCACGGCGACTCGCATCCTGCCTACAAGTATCGACTGTGGGCTGAAATGATCGTAAGCTTCACATTCCAAATAAATTTCAAACTGGTTTTATACTTTCTATGCATGCTACCTTAAAGGAGTAACATCAATGCCTTATTCTGGCTTATTTATTTTTGGAGAATTTATTGAATATTTCTTTCACAGATAGTTGGAACAGCAAATAGACAATATGTACCCGATGTCCCGATGTTTCACGCGACACCAGCGAAACGGCCGCGAAGAGAAACTTGGTCAAACAAGCTAGGCTCTGCAAGCGAAACAATTGCTCGTGCAATCACGGCAGGGCAAAATGCTGCAAAGCAAAATGATGAACATGTAAACCAGGTAAGTGTAACTGCATGCATGAGATACTTACAATATGATATACTTATGAATTGCAATGTATAACAAAAATATTTGTTTGTTTTTTGCATCTTCTCGTTTCTTTAGCCGGGTCAATCTACCGCTTCAGGGTCAACCGATGCGTCTAAAGCTATCATTCGCACACAAATTTTGAAACAAATCAAGGAGTTGTATGAATTGAAGACAATTGGGGCAATTACCGATGATGAATACAATTCCAAAAAATATATATTGCTAAAAGATCTGAATTAGTGATGCAACTACAGCAGAGTGCCGCAGCTAGTTCAACGATTGTAGGGGTGGGACGTATTTATATATTCGTATTCACAGACCTTAAAAACAACCGATTTTTCAAGAAATTAATTCATAATGAGGAACACAAAATATGAGCCCCCCTCCAATTATCGAGCTAACTGCAGCACTTATGATAACGGCTGTATATATAAAGTGAAAGTCGGTTTTACTCAAGCAACTTCTTTCAAGAAACTTCTAACTAACAAATCTGTTGTGAACAATGAAAAGAAATGACTGAGTGGTTAATTCAGAATCAAAATAATGCATGATATATACGGTCGTTTCGCACAACAAAAGTTGTTATTGTATAACCGGCTTTTACCCGACGTTTAAAATGCGCACAGTTTATCGTCACATAGATAGGTCTCGGCTGTGTATCACGATTTTTGTGTGTGTGTTGGTATTATGTAGGTGAATACTATTGTTTCTGATGTTTCTGGTTAGGCCGAGTATGTACATGTCTTGTGTAAGTTGTGTTTAAAAGTATGCGCGTCTTTCCCTGGTATTGCGCTATATTCCAAAGGTCGTATAATTTGATTCCCACTGTGGGCAGGCAAACATCTAAGCTTGCATGCCCAATGTTGGTATACACTCAGTGTTAGGCCTACACCAGAAAATCGTTGTGTATATGTACTTATAATGGCGATTTATTTGCCTAAATTATACATATTGACATTTTAAAAAGCCCCATTCAGCCTACTATATCTTGCATGGTTTTTCCCAGTAATATAGGTATTGTTGTGCACGGCTGCGCTATATGTGTAATTTGCTACTATAGGAACAAAATATATTATATAAATGTCAATATCTTTCGTGGGATATTATTATATTTTACGAGCAGGGTGACACACATGGCGTGAAAAAGAACTATATCAATTTGTTTGTATATAAAGTTATATTTTCACTCACTAACTATACTGCCGTGAAGAAGTGTACCCAAAGAAAATTTACAAATAACCAGCATGACGCATGTATCCTTCACAATCTTGTTGTGTGATCTGTCCAAAAGCATCCCATATAAGAGGAGTAGGATCTGCTAAAGATTTCAGAACGACATCATTCAGACGAAGATGATGTTTAACTTTCGCAAAAGCTTCTTCAATCGGATTTAAATCCGGACTATAAGGTGGCGAAAAACGAACTAGCGCTCCAAAGTTGTAAATGCGGTCTATAACATCTCTAACATGATGAACTGCATGGTTATCTAGATGGGCAGAGAAACCGCTTTTATTGACAAACCAAAATTCTAGTATTCAATAATTCAGTTGACCAAAAAGTAGGATTGAAAATCATGCAAAGTAACTCACCCATGACAATGACTGAACGCGTGTTAACCCCATTGTACACGTTCATTAGCGGAAGAAGGCAGTGATCCAGAAATTCATTAAAAGCCTCCTCATTGAATCGCTGCTCAATCGGCAAGATGTAATTCGCAACTAGCCCTTCACTAGATATGGCAGAAATGACTGTAAAATGGGGTCCCCACTGAGAGTAACTGTAGTCTCTGACAACTGGAGCTGTACCTCGAACACTATATCCAAATTGTCGGGAAATGCGCTTGTCCTATAAATTATCATAACAAACAATTTTTACCATTTTACTTATTTTTTAACACAAAATCATTTGTGTGAAGCATACTCACAATGCCTGTTTCGTCCAAGAAAACCAAATGGTGCGGATTAAAGGTTGCGATTTCAGCCATGAATTGTAAGCGAAGATGCTCTTGACGCTGTAGAGCAATTCGTTTTATCTAAAACAAACATATCACGTAGCTGTAGTTGTACGAAAGCTAGAAAATACAATGGTCAAATGCACATGGATACTATACCTTCTTACGAGTTATTCCCAGTCGATAAACAGCTTTGCATAACGTTTCTTCACTGAATGCAGAACCAGTCACATTATAAATACAGTAGGCCAATTCATTTAGCTGCATTTGCGGCCGTCTTAGTGCATAATCCATGATGATGTACTCTTCGTGAGGAAAGAAAGTGTTTGTATCTTTTGGTCGACCAAGGACGCAAGGTTTTACATCACCAGTGTTAATAAACGTTTGATAAGTACGGTAAACAGTTTTGGTAGAAACAAATAACTGTGATGCGATTTCCTTATAGGTGCGTTGATAAAAGACGCGGTGAAATATCATTCGCCACCGTAGATCGTTCGAATATGCTGCCGGCATTTTAAAATCTTGCTTCTCTTATTTGAAATACTGTCCGACTAAACTCGCAATATTCGGCGAAGCGCGCCATCGCATGCAAGCACACGCGAGTTGATGCATAACAATAAGTCACATGACAGGTATATTGATATACTTGATTTGGACAACGTTAATGACAGCGACTGTATATATATATATTATATATATATATATATATATAATATATTATATATATATATATATAATATATATATATATATAATATATATATATATATATATATATATTATATATTATATATATATATATATGTATATATAGACACGGACAGTAATAGCTAAATATAGACTTGATATTGATTAGGGGATTGATTGACATTAATTGGGGGGGGGGTCTAGTTATGTAAGAGATATAGAAACATACATAGAGAAAGCGTAAGAAACAAGCAATATTACAATTATTGTAATATTGAAGGATGGCGTCGATGAACATCAGAAGCCATTCCATATGAATGCGGCCTGGTTTACATTGGAGAGACTGGTAGAAATCTCAAAATCCGTACATGCATGCAATATGTTTTCTGATAAATTTTTTGCTGTATCAGAGAACATGAAATAACTTACTAAATGCTTGTGTCAATACCTTGTGCGTGTTACTTTAGGTACTTTTTCAAGGAGTATAGTTTTCTCCTGAAACCCACTATTTCAACTTACAACAATAATATCTGCATTTTCTAGTTGAAAAAATTTCGCGAGAATAATATTCCTTCCGATTCAACATCACACCGTAACTTATCCTGTAGAGTATTACGCCTGCTTTGTTCCGAACATGCCTACGAAACTTTACGACGATTTCCGAATTCCAACTGGAAAATTTTGCGTTTACAGCTCACCGCCGGAAAGTGTCGCCGCTTCGGTAAGAAATTTTGTCGTATCAATAAGCAAGGTGTTGTTCGAAAAGTTTCCAAATGGCCCTAAAAGTAAATAAGAGTAGCGAATGGCCGTTGGTTTTACCAAAACATGAAAAGCAAAACTCTTAGTTAACTTCACATAGAGTTATTACAGAATTTTCCATTAAAAAAAAATCAGTTAAAGTGCCAATGTCATAAAATTGGAATTTGAATTTTTTAAATCTATGGTTGAAATGAGTTATTAAGTTCTAAAACAGATTTGAATTTGCATCTTTGCCTTTCAAGTCACTGCCGTCAAAACATCGAATTTTGCAAACCAAAAAATCTTAAAACCGCGCAAAAGAGACTGGCGCGAAACACTGCGTTTGACGTCACAATAGGGACTCGTTTAACTTGAGTATTTAGAAGCTCTATTGCGTTCAACACGACTATTTAGAATCAAACAGCGCAAAAAGGCCACGCGATCTAAAAATGCCAAATATATGTGTAGTAGAAGGTTGTTCGAATGTCACTGATAAAGAAAAGGGCATTTCGCTTCATTTTACACCTTTCGCTGGAGACGAAAGGCCCGAAGCAAGAAAGAGACGCAAACAGCGGGTTGACTTCGTGCGCATAAAGCGAGCAAAATGGAATCCAACACAGAACTCGAGTATTTGTAATTTGTTCTGAGCATTTTGCTAAAGAGGATTTTACAGAGATGTTCTCTAAACTCTCTGGTAAAAAACCGCGGTTGGGTCCGAAAGTAAATTGGCGTCGTCGCGATTTCGAAATATACAATTTCTTCTGAAGGCACAACTTCTTCTGAAGACACAAATTTGTCTGCAATGTTAAAGAGAATGGTAAGTAGTTTTCAGCTTTTGCTTTCTAATACTTATTTTACTTTTTACTATAAAATTCACTGTTTCTATTACTTAAAGTATAAAGTGACGAATGTATATGAAAATGGGTTGTAAAAGAGGTATTTCCACGCATTCAACAGATGTTGGTAGCAGTCACACAACAGATGCAAATCGGCCGGAACAAATTGAGTCATTGACATTAGAACACGAAAGGAGTGATAACATAGCAGATGAAAATTTGCAATAGTGGAATCTAGAAAAGATGTGAGTGATTATAGTTAAACGGCTAAAGTATGTTATGTTATGTATGGTGGTGACTAAACTTAGTAATACATATAGCGCACTGACTCTTTTTGATATTTCTTGAAGAATAACATGTCGACCCAAAAAGTTGTTGTTTTGGCTGTCCGTATTTGGTAAAAGAAAGACGAAAAACGTGGAACAAGTACATTACGCTGAAAGAAAAGTACAATGCTATGATAAAGGAAAAACGTTCTAAAGGTATATCCACGTTTGATTTTATAATTATGTCTTGTTGGCACCACAGGGAAAACTCTTGACACGTTTCAAATTTCCAGCTAATATCGATATTTTATAATGTCACTGTCGAGACTCTATAAGCCTGTAAGAAATGGTCAACTTGAAGGGGTTTTTCGCGAAACGCTTGGAAAAGATATAAAGTCAGCATATAAGATTTAGCTGTGAAAACAAGCCAGAGGCATGCGTGATTCAAGGCATGCGTGATTCAATTACTGCTATATATAACACCTTGTACAAATATCTGCACCCACGCAGGGCAGGAAAACCTCAAATATAATGGCAAATGACAATTCAAAAGTGGCAGAGTACAGCGAATTTTACGTGCACGTCACAAATCTCTTATTTATTTAGGTATTCAATGCAGTATACTTTTAAACAATGACGACAAACATAACAGCAAAATATCAACAACAGCACCTATGTTTGACTCTGAGCCTGAAACCGGCGGTGACGACACTGATACCACGAGAGACGAAACCACAGGCACAGAAGATGAAAAACAGGAAACAGAAGACGACGTTCTTAAATCCGAAGAGGATATTGAATCTGACCAAGAGAGCGATGCTGAAAATACGTAATACCTTAGGCACGTAATTACGAATTGCTCGTTTTATTCAGAATAGTATACATAAAAATCAATTTTCTTTTGTAGAGATCTCCTCGGCAGTGAAAATTTGAGGCAGGAATAAAATTTCATCGTTTTTCTTTCGCAATTGCCTTTGCTGTCTAAGTTCTGCCATTTTTGCAAAACGCACAGTGTCCTGGTTGAAGCAACTCTGGATGGAAGCGCTTTAGTAGTTGAAAGCAATTGTGGAAATGCAAAATGTGGTCAGAGACGAAGTGTTTTGAGACGTCAACCTTTGTTGCCTGGCTCGAAAGTCAATGCTGGAGATTTCCTTCAAAGTTTCTCTATTTTAGTCCTAAGGGTATCACCTGCGAAAGTCATACATATGTTTCAGCACATGGGTCTGGAATATCTCTCGAGATATTTTTTAGACCTTAACGTGTATGTATAGCATTTTCAACCATATAATTTCAGGTTACCTGACCAGTACACCACGAATTCGCAAAAGGGGGCAATACAAGGCAGAATCAATATATATTTTAATATTTTAATAATAATTTTTAATGATTTTCAATGTCTTTCTTTTTTTCTACAGACTTTGTTGCTCCCTGCCATATTTATTCATTGGCAAGATTGCCAAAGAAAAATCCTTGAGCGTCTGAAATTGTTATAGTCTTTGGTGATCTCAAGTGACGAACAGTGATATGGTGCTTACACGATCTTTTGCTGTACTTCATCGCAAATAATTCATTTTAGCTTAATACAGGTAACGAATTCCTAATGGGATATTTCAACTCAGTTTCAGTTTCAGGTCGTAATAATAGGTCGTAGAATGAGCATCGAAATGAAGCAATTCCGTTGCACCCCTCGTGGAACTACGTAATTTTTACATGAATCAATAGATAAAAACTTACTTTATCTGAATCCGTTGCTCCCCAAGTGAAACAGTTGCACAATTAGGAAAAAATCCCTCCAAAGTTTGTTACTTTTACGCTTCCAAATATTCAAACTGCTATTGTTTTAGTAGCAAATACGCATGCGCATATCAGCCGAAGTCGCAATGCGCACGCGCAAACAGGAGAAATGGACTTTCCCTGTTGGTTTTCCCCGATTTCCCGCGAGAAAACAACAAAATAAAATCAAGAAGTAAAGATCAAATTTTGTAATATTAACGAATAAATACACACACATCAAATATTGTTTAAAACACATTGTACATTTTGCTTGCTCATATGGTAAATCACTTCAATTTATTGGCTATTGTTTCAAAATACCGTTTTACGTTAACATCTTAGTTCATTAAAAATTGTGTCAGGTAAAAAACCCACGTGTATCAAACAGGACAGAGAATCTATAAATATACATACAACTCACACAATCAAGGGACAAGTTAAATATTTCGCTTTACTATAGCCTTCACATCACTAACAAAGCCTGGGGGAATAGCAGAATCCTTGGATATATTCATCTGTGCAAGGACAGTCTCATCAAAGAGTAGATATTATAATATCTACTCTTTGGTCTCATGGCACAATACAAATGAGTGTGACATGCAATGTCCAAAACGACTCAATAGAGAAAATACTGAGGTTGAACCTGTCAGTTGTCTAAGTGTCATGGCAAATGCTATACTCTTGGGCATAGGACTCCTTCCCCCAGATGCTAAATTCACAAGGTCTTGTACAATTGATGTTAGTTTGGCACTGTTCTTGCCTCAATTGGCACGTACTCACTTAAGGTTGGCTCTGAAGAGAATCCACAAA